TAATAATAATAATAATAATAATAATAATAATAATAATAATAATAATAGTCTAAATGCTCTGATGGTCATTTGGAAAAATCCTTTCTTAGTGAGCCCCTAGAAGCCAAGAGGAACCTATGTGCCAAATTTCAAGTTTGTAGGCTTTACGGTTTCGGAGATTTTGCGATGATGCGTGAGTGGCATTTCGCTTTTTTTATATAGATTAACTTTGGATTCTGCCCATCTCTGTACCAAGTGACTCTGGGTGGGCGAGAGAATAAAATAATCACCAGATCAAAGTTGGTTCTTTGGGTCCATTTTAATATTCATTTTCATCTTTTGATTTTTTAATGTGCGATCCTTCAAGTGGTGATCCTGTCATTGTTTTATTCCAGTCTAAGTGATTCAGATCTGCTTGGTAGGTGGGCAGCCAAGGGATTTTAATAAAAGCGAGATCAGGCTGGGAAGTGACTCCAAGTGGATTTCTTAAGGAATATTTTGCAGTCGCCTGGAAAAATGGGTTGATCACAAAAGTGAACTTTCTTTCTTTGTTTTTATTTAGAGCCTGCCTTTATTAATCTTTATAAATAACTCAAGGCAGGGAACATACACAATATTCCTTTCTTCTCTGATTTCTACCATAGCAATTCTGTGAGGTGGGGTGGGCGGACAGAGGAGGGGGCTGGGACTGGCCCAAAGTCATCTAGCCTGTTTTCATGCCTAAGGCAGGACTAGAACTCACCATTTCCTAGTGATCGTCCCAAAGTTGCCCAGTTGACTTTCATGCCCAAGGCAGGACTAGAACTCACCGTCTCCTAGTGATTGTCCCAAAGTTGTCCAAATGACTTCAATGCCTAAGAAAAGTACTAGAACTCACTGTCTCCTGGTGATTGGCCCAAAGTTACCAGGTCAATTTCACACCTAAGGCACAACTAGAACTCGCCATCTCCCCAGCTTCTGGTCTGATACCTTAACCAGTAGACAAAACTGGCTGGAAGGGACCTTTGAGGTCTTCTAGTCCAACCCCTGGTCGGGCAAAAGACCCTACATCATTTCAGACAAATGGCTGTCCAAACTCTTCTTAAAAGCCTCCAGTGATGGAGCAGCCACAATTTCTGGTGGCAAGCAGTTCCACTGGTTAATTATTCTCACAGATCAGGAAATTTCTCCTTAGTTCTGTCCTCGGATAAACATTTGGATGCTTGGCGACTGACTCATATTTAGGATAGTTGCAATGGATCGTGTGATCACCTTTTGGGACCTTCCGACAGGTAAGGTCAACGGGCGGAGGGGTTAAGCCAGATTCATTCAGAAACCACGTTATTCACTTAACTACTGGAGTTAGCAAGGAAGGTCATACAACGGGGCAAGATTCCCTTCAATGTCTCACTTAGCGACAGACATGTTGGACTCCCTTGTGGCTGTAAATTGAGGATTACCTGTAGGAACAAAAAGGCTGCTGGCACACGCATTTGACCTAGAAATCTGTTTATGGCCTTCCCTTTAAACTTGCAATACTGTAAACCAGGGATGACCAACCTTGGCAACTTTAAGACTTGTGGACTTCAACTCCCAGAATTCTCCAGCCAGCACAGCTTACAGTGTTGTAATCCCTTCCTCTGCAAACTCTCCACTTTGGTGGGTAAGAAACAGACACAGCCGGCTGAGGAATTCTGGGAGTTGAAGTCCACCAAACTTAAAGTTGCCAAGGTTGGAGACCCCTGCTTTAAACAGCTTTTAATATGAAGCTTTTAATTCCAGCATCCTGTTGTGTGCATTTCCTTTGAATATACCGTGTTTCTTTTCCCCACCCAAAAAAACAAGACCGGGTCTTATATTAATTTTTGCTTCAAAAGACGCATTAGACCTTATTTTCCAGCTAGGTCTTATTCTCGGGGAAATTGGGGGGGGGGGGTTCCAAATGAATAGAATAGAACAAACGTGGCAAGTTTAAAGATCGGTGGACTTCAACTCCCAGAATTCCTGAGCTAACATGACTGGAGGAGGAAGAGGAGAGATTCTGGGAGTTTGAAGTCCACAAGTCTTCAAGCTGCCAAGGTTTGGAGACCCCTGGAATAGAATAACAAAGTTGGAAGGGACCTTGGAGGTCTTCTAGTCCAACCCACTCTGCCTAGGCAGGAAACCCTACAACCACTTCAGACAAAGGGTTATCCAACATCTTTTTAAAACCTTTTTTTAATATTTAATATTTATGTAATATTTAAATATCCTTTCTGGTTAGAGTAGAAGAATAGGAATAGAAGAAGAATAGAAGATTAGAATAATAGGCTTGGAAGGGACCCTAGAGGTCATCTAGTCCAACCCTCTGCTCAAGGCAGGGATGCCTTATATAATCCTAGTCATATGGCTGTCCAGTCTCTCCTCGAAACCTGCCCTTGATGGATGTATATGGAGATTCTCCTTCGTCTGGAACATGGTTGTCTCAAAGGTGCCTTTTCCCCCCCCAAAAGGCAACTGAACTTTCTGGGGTTTTTTTTGAAGATGTTTTGCTTCTCATTCAAGAAGCTTCTTCGGCTCTGACCGGATAGTATGGAAGGGAAGGATTTGTACTCCTTGCTGACAAGATTCAGCAGTTCATCTGCATTTAAAAGAAAAAAGGCCGCTCTTTTGAAGGCAGCAAAGTCCCACATTTTGGACAGAGAGGACCGCTGGTTTGAAAGAAGGGGTCCAAGAGGCCATCTATCTCCAAATTGAAGAGTCTACACCACGGTCCTTTCAGCAGTTCTAAGAAGGCTCCACACCCATTTGCACCACTGAAGACATAGATCAACCTCCAAGTGGCCTCAATGACTCTCTAAAAAGGATGCAAACGACCTTCCTTCCTTCCTTCCTTCCTTCCTTCCTTCCTTCCTTCCTTCCTTCTTTCCTTTTAGGCACTTGGGGGTTTGCACTGCTCAAGTGACCTTGAGGACACAGACGAACCTCCAAGTGGCCTCAAGGACTCTAAAAAGGATGCAAATGACCAGCTGTCTGCAAGGAATACAAATCCTTCCCTTCCCCACCATCCAGAGTTGAAGAAGCTTCTTGGAGGAGGAGAAGTGAAACCCCTTCAAAGAAAAAGCAAGAAAGTCAAATTGCCTCTTGAGAAAAGCACCCCTGGGACCCCCATGATTATATATATAGTTGTGCTTTTAAAGTTGTAGCAACCTTTCGGCAGAATCTCATCTGCCTTCATCAGGCTTCTGTATTGGGTTCGTCTGTGAGTCAGACTTTCACAGCCGTTTCTGTTTTAAATTTGGGGCTAGCCTACTGCTGTGCCAGAATGGTTTTTTCTTCATCCTGATTGGTTGGGAGTCTTGGTCTGTGTTTATTGGTCTTGGAGGTTGCTGTGTTCTGCTTGATTGGTGTTTCTAATACCTTCTGTCTGTTTTGTAGCAGTTTTATGTAGGAATTCAGATTAAAGCATCCTCATCTTTCTTTCCTTTTTTTCTCTCTCTCTCTCTCGCCTTTTCCTTTCTTTTCTCCTTCTCCCTTTCTTTCTACCCTTCCTTCTTTCTCTTTATCTCTCCCTTCTCTCTTTCTTTCCCTCCTTTTCTATTCTTCCTTTTCCCTCCTTCTTTATTTCATCTTTCCTGTTTCATTCACTCATTCCCATCCCTCCCTCTTTCCTCCCTCTCTCCTCTCCTTCCTTCCTTTATTTCCCCACTCTTGCTTGCTTGCTTCCTTTCTTCCATCCTTTCTTTATTCCCAACCCTCCCTCCCACTTCCCTCATTCTTTCATTTTCTTCCTCCCTCTCTCCTCCCTTCCTCCTCCCTCTTCCCTTTTC